AGTCTTCCGAAAGTTCTTCTCTCGTTGTAAAAAAAAAAAAAAAGCCAATACAACAAACTGGCAATAATCGGGCGTTACAAAGAAAACCCACTGCTCTGAAATGCAAGAAGTGGCCAGCTTACACGCACCTTTGCCTACAGGTAATGGCTTAAACTAACAACCTTCTGCTCTAGAGTTCCCAAAAATATTAATTGCACCTTTGTCTACAGGTAATGGCTTAAACTAACATCCTTCTGCTCTAGAGTTCCCAAAAATATTAATCATTCATACTTTTCATAAGGGAAACGTCGTTGCACGTGCAGCTCGTTACAATTTGGTCAGAAGATCGTTCACTAATCGCTTCCCTCATGATTTAATGCAAATTCTGCCCTGTAACTTGCATTTTTCAGTATTGTGTTTAAAACAACACTCAGTAAGTCAGAAGATAACAAAAAGATGCGTTTCTCTTAAAAAAAAAAGCCTACATTTTCCCATTATAAACCAGATAACAGTTCTCCTTCATCACATGAATCAGGACTTTCAGACTTAAGATCTTTTCTTCCCTTCAGGTCTCGGTTTCTTGGCACCTTTTCCCAAACAGCAACTACTTTTAAGTCTTCTAATGGAATTTTGACTCACTGCACCTTTGAGCAGCACGTACACTGAGTACAGAACATGCTGCTACTCAGAAACCAAATCAAAATTGATATTTCAATTTGTAAACATCTTGTAAAGCTGCTTCGCCCCCGCCTTGTTATTCAAGATAATGCTTCCAAGATTCACCACTACAGGGGATGACAATCTCACCTTTTATATTTATTTCTGCATTTCAGAAACAAATCTATTCGCACACCTTTTATGAATTTTTCAAAGCATTTTTAAAACTATTGTGAGTTTGTGGGATTTTTAAGAAAAATGGTTTTTAAGTAAATTGCTTTATCTCCCTAGTCACATAAAGAAAGGTAAATTTTTCTGCTAAATTGTTTTCACAGAATTGTTTGTAGAAGCAAAAAAAATGTTTAACTGAACTTATTTTGTTGTCTTTCTTGTTTTTTTAAAAAAAACAGCCCAAACTGTTGGGAAAAGAAAATCGCCTGTGTTACTAAAACATCAACCACAGACGACAACAACAACCTGGAGTCCTGCTATTATAAAACAAGTGCAAAAATCACAGTGCTTTAGTTCTAAGGGTTCATTAAAAATTATTTCTTAAAATATCTTTAACACGTAATTCCCAAATAATTAGGGTTTACAAACTCCAGCTCCTTTTTACTTGCTGCTCTCTGGAGAGGAATCTGCAAAGGAGCGGAGGAGGACTCAAGAGGCCACGGGAGCGGAACAGCCAGACGCCTGGCAGTGCAGACGCGGGAGGCAACACGCAGGAACAGGCTTGAATCATTCAGCTTGGAGCCAAAAAAAACAAGGGCGGCAAGAGAAATGCATGAGCATCAACTTCTGTAAAGCATTAGATCTTCAATATTAGCCTCTAAGTCAAATTTCAGGCATGACTAACAAAAGAATTCTGTGGCAGTAAATAATAAACTACATTGGTTAACTTCACATTACTGTAGCACTGCACTTTTCATGTTTTCTAACTTACCAGGTACTAGAGAGAGAAACATTTGAATGGGTTTTTGCTGATTTCTTTTAATCAGTTACCTGAAAAGTTTCAGTAGAAGTCAGTAGAATTTACTGTTCCAGACTGCCACATGTATATAATGGCCAGCCAGATTTATTTTTAAAAAGAGCAAGATGCTGTGCAGAATATGCAACAAACCAGAAAAGGCTTTTGCCTTTTCAAATTATTATTTGTGGATGTAAAATTACAGAACAAAAATCCAGTACTGCTCTGCAACTGCTGTCGGGATTTTAGTAATAAACTTACACCCACTTCCTCGTGTAAGCGAAAATCAAAAACGTTGTATTGCTATTTCAAGAACAAAATCAAGACAAACTCACTTTACCCAGATGAGAGAGTTGTAAAACTCTGGGTCAACGGATTCCAAATCCTTGAGTCCTACTGGCTTGTTTAGGATACGTTTGTAGAACGGCAGAGAGAAACCGGTGTCAATGAATTTCCCATGGAACAAAGCCTGAAGAACACGAGAACAGACAAAATAACACAAAGGATGGCTGAACAATCAATACGACACCGTTCTGTGCTCTTTGCCAATGAAATCTGACAGCCAAAGAATTAAAACCACCAGAATATCGTGACCGCTAATACGCTGACTTCACTTAGGCCAACGGTAGTTACATCCAGACCCCTGCTAAGGGTTTCAACTCAAAAATCACACACACGGAATCACAGAGTGTTGGGGGTTGGAAGGGATTTCGAAAGATCTGGTCCGACCCCCTGCCAGAGCAGGGTCACATGAGCTGCTCCATCATTCATCTGATGGTGCAATGTTTAGTTGTAGGAAAATCACACGAGAACTTTTCTCCTTTTGAACTTACCATGGCGATGAATCTTCCAATAAATCGGAAGTATTTCAAATGGTCTGGATTAATGTAAGAGGCCGGGTTTATCTGTAAGCAGTAGTTATCTTTCCCTGCATATTCAAACAGGCAATACATTGGGTTCAAAACTTCATGTGACAATAGAAAGAACCACTCCCTGAAATCACACAAACAACAAAAACACGTTTCAAAATCAGTTCAATCAGAAACGATCTTCGCTAACTCATGTTAACTCGGGAGCTTGCTGGCACACAGGTGGTCAGTCTGACTTCTGTCCCACAGAGTACGCCAGACCAAACTGAAACCAAATTGAAACGAACACAAATTACAAATTAATATGCAAAGTGATGATGACGTACAACTGTCAGCGGTTTGGATAAAAACCACCCTGATCTAAATGAGCAGATTAAAAACCCATCACTGATTTAAACGGCAGGGTTTCAGGGAATGCTAATTAATACGTGCACTGCTTGGTTACTCTCCAGGAAAGACTCTTGCCTCAAAAGTAGATTTCTCTTAGTTTTTTAATTAACCTTTGCTCTGGTACTAACAACAGTTGTGTCAAAGCCTTAACTGCAGTTCAATACACTGTACATCTCTTTAATCTTGGAGATGATTAAAAGAATTCCTGATGCAAGTTAAAAATAATTTCACTCAGTTTTAAGACACGCATCCATCCTAACAAATTGTCTTTTCAAAGATATTCCGAGGAAAGATAAGGAATACACTTTACTAATATTTTGGAAGCACTGCGGTTTAAGTATGTATTTCGGGAAAGTCTTCACATCAACGACTCGCAGAAAAAGTCATTATTTGCCATTTCAGTTGAGTTTACCTTGCAACACCTCCGTAATCTAAGCCTTCTTCACCAGGGAAAATAACCCACAGACGTCGCCGTAGATCCTGAGGGCTGAAGCTCATTATCTTAGTAAAAGAAAAACAATCGATTCTTTTTAAGAAAACAGCTACAGGCATTGGCTAGACTTAGTACTATTTGTTATCAAGCAACGCAGCATTTAATAATTCAGACCCTAAAACAAATTCTGAGTATGTGAAGCACCTGCTTACGGAATGTTCATGGAATTGGAAACATTAGTGCAAACCTACGTCCACAGATCCCAAAGTAAATCATAATTCAGAAATTAAAGGGGGATTATTTAGGCCAGAAGCCCATTCATAAGCATACGACAGAAATCTAGCCAATAATTAATAGGAACGTGTTAAATACCACATTGAATGCTATCCCAGTGAAAAGTAACAAAGAGACATGATCAAGGACCTCCCCCCCAAAAAAATTAGAAACAAAACAATAATAAACATACATTACACAGTTTTTCATTTTACAGCTTCATCCTTGCAGAGGATAATAAAAATCTAGCTGATTTGTTAATTTTTTAAACATTAGGAAGAATCACAGATGTTAAGGAACTTTACTAATACTGTTTTTAATACAATGACCAAATTTGTGCTGATTTGGTCAATATTCAGAGGTTTACATAAAGAAATTTCCCACAACGCTTGTGTGTGTGTCCAAGAGCCTTAAGTTTTGGTTTGCAATGAGAGGCATGGAATTGGGGTCAAGATTTTAATTTTAAAAATCCCTCCTAGATGTCTGTAGTAACAACTAAAAAATAATTATAATATTTATAACCCCAACGGAGATATCTGCAAAAGATGAATGACTTAACGAGCGTCAAAAACGAACTCACATCTCTGAGATTACGTCATCTCAATCACCGACAAGGCACCCTGTTTTCCTAAGGAAACCCAGGCTTGCTGATGTTTCTGTAATAGCACAACCCATCTCTCAATTCTTTCTAGTACGGTGTAATTTCATTATCTCTATGGTTACTGTAAAAGGATCAAGTGCAATTTTAGAAATAAGGCTGGAGCTGACTTCCAGTTACAGGATTTATTTTGTTCCCTTCTAACCCCTTTTTATTGGAAGGCATCGCTGTTCCCGAACAGAAGAGCAGTCAGCTGCACTAGGTCTTGCTTCTAAGTCAGTTTGCAGTAATTTGAACAAGAAAGGATTAATCCTCATTTAAGAACCTGATTGTCTCAAAACATACTCTTCTATTTGTTCAAATTTCCTGGCTTGGCACATCCGTGATAATTCCTAAAATAAATGAAGCCTGAATACTGTAAAGCAACAGATTTTAACCATGGGTTAGGTCTATGGACATTCACAAGAATTTTGCTCCTAATAATCTAATTAATAATTTTTGTGGGGTTTTAACCATTTCATTACTCAGCTGAAGACCCATAACACCCAGCCTGAGATCGCTTTAACATGTTTTGGGATGCAGCCCACGCTTATATAACACAGCGTCAGGAAAAATGTGCCGACAAACATGGCCATAATATGAAAATTTCCCGAGAACAGGGTGCTACTCGGCCACAGCGCTCCCCTCAAAATTAACTCAGAATTTGGAGCATTCTGAGGGAAAAAAAATAACCCCCCCATCTTCTTTATTAGGTGAATTAGTCTTTAAAGCCCGAACTTCACATTTTAGCATGATCTTTTAATATATAAGCATGAATGCATCCTAACTACTAAACTAGGATTCTTTTCGTTAGTCTCACTTAAAATAACACAAGCAGGAAGTCAAAGTATCAAGAATAACATCTGATCCTAAATTTAATCAACTTTTCATGCCCCTGCTATCATGTTTTAATACGATACCTGTTGAAATGAGTCCTCGAATAATGTTTTTCTGCTCACTGTGATCTTTATGTGCTGCGGCATTGCCAGTTGCTGAAAGGAAATTTTTTCGAGGTGAAGCGTAGTGTCATTTGACATGTCTGAGTTCAGGCTACTCTTTGTTGTACAGATTGGTTTAAGAGGTACAGCTGAATTTCACTCATCCATATAAAAAAACCCTCCGTGATCAACATATTTGAATTGTAATTTACTCCAAGAAGAAAACGCTTCCAATAGTGCTCTCTGCAGGGAGGGACACAGGCCTCCAGACCCTGCTTAGCGCAGGTTCCAACACTGTTCTCTTACAAGACATGGGAAAACACCAAGTGAAAAAGGAGGCTAGTAGCTCCGCTATTTTTCAATGGATGATTCATTAACTCTTGAAACCGGAACATTTAAACATGAGACTTTGGCCTAAACATTAAATTATTTACTCTTTAGAGGATCAAGACTGATGCACTGGGATTATGTCAGAGCAACACTACTGTGCAACACAGAATATTCTTTAACGTTTAGACATGGGCATTCTGAGTCAAATGCCCTGCATTTTCTTCCAGAACTATATTTGTGCAGAAAGTAGATCATGTATTAGTTATAAAAACACACTGTGCCTCCATATATTCCCTTATTAATGGCAGAAAGAAAACAGTATTCTGAAACCCACCACCTTAAAAAAAGAGTAGCTAAACTGATGGTTTCCTTTATTCTAAAAAAGTTTTAAAGCCATGGCTTACCTGGCTTTAAAGCTTATGTGACTTTATACAAGTCCTGCATTTATAACCTCCTAATTTAATTCACCTTTAACTTACAAGTACTTTAAATATCTCTAATGCAAAGCACTGATGAGTTTATTTAAAGCACGTAAGCAAAAATCCAAAATGCAAACAAGTATTCCCAAGGAATTAATCCATACCTGACACCAGAATCTGAAATAATGGACCTTTGCCTTGAAATCACGTACATAAGCTATCTGGGGTCCATTGTCTCTGGAACCGAAAGGAGAAAGAAAAGGAAAAAAAAAAAAGGCATTTCAAAAGTGTTTCTGTAATTTGACTAGAAGCCACAAATGTATTAGTCATACAGTTGTATGGTTTAGTTGAATCTATACTTGGAAGACTCTTAGTCACATTTTTTGATTTTGGGGTGTATTTTTCTTGCTTTCAAACTGCAAAAATAAATAAATCTGCCTGTGTAAACTGCAGAACACATACACAACACTTTTGAAAAAACGTCTGACTATTAACTGTAAAAAAAATTCTAACAGTAAGTTTGGGATGTCATTCAGTTAATTTCAGTTGGGAGGTAAAGTCTCGTTCTAACTCCATTCTCGCTCCGAAAGGGTCGAGCGTACTGTTATAAAGCAAGACCAGTAACTGGAAAGAAGGGATCTGGTCCTCAGCAGCACTGGTGAAACTCCTTCACTACCCTCAAATCCTACATAGCACTGGGCAAGAAGGATTCTAGAGTGTTGAAAACGCAACCTGCTTCAGGGACAGTCATCAGCTGATGGAAAAAAAACTCCAGAAAATGAAGAAACGTTATTACCTGTAAATCTTTCTGCATAAAAAAATGTACGCAGAGAAGGAAAACTTCCAAAAATGGTACGTGCTAAACTCCACTTTTGAAAACCTGGTATAATGTCAAAAACACTTACAGAGCAGACTTGCCCGTGCGGGGATCTATGTAGGTAGTGGTTCTTCGGTTGTGATCCACAAAGTAGGGGATGCCATCCACAGTAAATCGCATTTCCCAGCCCTCTGGCAAGGGTTTCTCATTTAACTGACTACAGATACAAGAAAATACACAGTAAGTGACCCATTTATTACATAAGACAACTGAACAAATATCTGAAAGAGCAAAAGTTTGGGCAGACCTAGAAAAACTACAGATCAAGAAGCTTTCCATCCAATATTTATTCTGGCTTTTTTTCTTCTTAAATTTTCATGTCAGCTCTCAATTAGACCAAAATGACTGTTTAATGAAACAGGTTTTTGTCTCTTTTTCTCTTGTCATTGCATCCTGCCTTTTATATTAGGGGAGGTGGGTTTTTTTTTGTTTGGAGGGAGAGGAAAACAGATTGCATCCCCCACATCGGGGAGGAGGTGGCCAGGAAGATGGGAGGGGTGGGCGGAGAAGTGTATTTAAGATCAAGTTCTACTTATTTCCTCTCACTATCCCACTCTGATCTACTAAACTGGTGGTGGTATATTTGTTTTTTCCCCAAATCTGTTCTGTTTTTTACCCATGATCATAAGTGGTGAACGAACCCTCCCTGCCCTAATCTCAATCCTTGAGCCTTTTTATCCAATTTTCCCCATTCTCCGTGGGGTGAGGGTGTGAGTGAGTGGTTCTTCATTGCCAGCCCAGGTAGCCAGCTCAAACCACGGTGACGTGTAATCACAGCAGCCGAAAAACTTTCGGAATGACAAAAATAAAGGAAAATGCAAATCCTGATCTCTCACAATTTTTCGACAGCTTCCACCTCAGTGCCGGCACACACAAAAATAGATCTCGGCCTACTTGGAAGACCTGACTAGATCCAAAATGCTCTCAGTGACCTCTCTGAACAGAACCGCGCTGCGGGACCACGTTTGTACCTGTGGAGCCGGCACAGCTGGCACACTGGGTTGTTGGCTTGCACTAAGAGCAATAACGTTCTCCACATGGTCGGCTGGCGCAGACGTGACCGGGATGGAAACGCTGTCATCTCTGGCTACAGCCATTACCCTTCCACACGTCCTAGGCTACTCCCCTCCCCTTCCTCTAACTCCTTCTCTATGGAGGACAGATGAAGTTGCTTCACCAAATGGAAACTTTCAGGAAGAGCTGACACCCTTCACTCCCCAAACCAGTACTCCTTAAGTTCTCTTTATTTTTATTTTTTTTTAAAGGTATGAGGAAGGGAGCTGCAGTTTTTCAAGTTTACCTTCATTCTCTCCCAGCTATTGACTGTCTAGGAAATAATCCAATTCTCCTTCAGGATCCTCCGCACTATCTCATCACTGTATGAAAGAAATCCCTCCCTCTCCCAACGATACGAATGTTTAGATGCGAGTGTCTTATTTCTAAAAAGCATTGGAGCTGTTCCAGCCAGTTAACTTCTTGTTGTTGACCATCACATCCCTGGTGATTGCACTATTGACAGCTTCTATTTGTGCTATTTGTATATCTATTTGTTCCCTGGTGATTGCACTATTGACAGCTTCTATTTTGGCTACTACCTTTCCATATTTTAACAAGCTGTCTGACGTTTGTGCAGGACAGTCCAGGTTTCAGCTGTGGGCAGCATTTCCTAGTGCTCAGTCTCATTACTTTATTCTCATTCCAGATTTACATGAAGCTGCAATTGATTTCTTACCCCTGACTCCTGGGATCTTCCCACTGAGTGATTCGTGTGTTATGATTGACAAAATACACTCTGCCATTGCTGTCAGTCCTTTTCTCTGAAAAGATGCAAAAGGAAAAACAATTGGTGCATGCTTAACGTGGTGCTGAGACGCCCTGGCTTCATTTTCTGTACCACTCTGCAGCTCTTGATACAGTGACTAGTGTCGCACGAGAAATACAAAATATAGAAAACAAATTTTAAAACCAGGCCAAAATCTGACTACCACAGGTAAAAAGCCTCAGTTTGCAAGACAAGCCCGGAAGCAGACACTCGTCTACAAGGGTTACGCTGGCAGCAGAATTTAACACAAAGCGGAAACTCAGTTTCATTGTTTCCTGGGAAATGTCTGTCTAAATAACTTTATTTGAAATCTGACATATGTAATACACCACAGCACGAGTGTGGGGAACAAAGACTTGGTGGCATGAAACTGCATCAATATCAGAACTAAAAATCCAAATAGTTACGTTTGAAAAAAAAAAACCAAAACCACAACTCCCCCCCCAAGTCAAAATCCCAACTTGAACTCTGCCAAGTAATTACTTGCTTTAAAATCACACAACTGAGAACTTTGTCTATATATCGTGTTAAAAAGTCTTTAATCCGCTTGATAGTCACACTAGAAACTAGTTTTACACTTAGATTTTTATAGACCTCCCTCAATTATATTAACTGTAAACTGTTAATCCTTTAAATTACAAACCCAAACTTATTTGAGGGAGAGGGCTAAGGCAAAAGTGGTTATTCTCTAAGTCTCTTCCAGCTTAGGCCATTCTATGATTCTATGATTCTATTCAGCATTATAAAAACCATTTCCAGACCAACAAAACTCTCCAAAAATTGGCTTGGAGAGGGAATTTGGCAGCCTGATTTAAAGCGGATTTGGAGTCTCATGTGGCAGGAGCAGCATGGTGGGAGGTGAATCCTGCCTAAGGAAAGTAGTAATAAAAAAGGATGACAGTGCGAAAGAAGCTATTATGATAGTTACAGGGAGCAAATCAGAACACTTTATAGTCTTTAATCTACTTTGAAACTGCGTATCCTTGTCAGGACTCTGTTTCAGCAGCACATTTGATTACATTTAATTTTAAAAGATTTTTAGTCCAGATTTCCATTTTGAAAACCAGTTTAGAGCAGCTGACAAAATAATTTGGCAGAAGTATGCTTTAATGTTTAATTACGTTGCGTTACAAAACACTTTCAAGTCACTCTTACCCCATCCATGTGGCAGAGGGCCAAGAGGATCAAACTCTTTGTTCTGTGTGGATGAGAAGTCCTGGTTCTGCAAGTCACACAAACAAATGGCGCATTAATGACGAGTCGCTTTCCAGATGTTCTACCACCACCACCATGAATTATTTAAGTAAATGCACTTTTGCTAACGTTACGTATAAGCAAAGATGCCAACGATTTATTTTTCTCCACAGAGAAGGCCTATTTGACAGACCTTGGCACGCTTAATTAACTACCGGGCCAAGAAAATACTCATTCTTTGTTTAGTGTCCCTGCCTACGCAGAAGGGAAATTAGTGCAGCAGCACCCAAAACAATCAGAAACCAAACCCCTTCACGCCTGCATTCAGTGCCTTCTCCCCATCACCATCACCCAGGTCTATTTTTATTCTCCACACATACAGCAAATCTAGAACCTCCACCGTTCTTGAGAAACTATTGACATGACTTGGAGTTATCTGAAGTCTACTATTCACCAGAGGTCAACGACAGATTTAAAATTCTGGAAGGTTTATTTTACATTTCGCTTCTTTCCCAACATTCACTGTGCATATTTCATTTTAGCCAGAGCAGAAATCTCTGTCCTGGGAGCTTGCTCACCTTCCAGGTCTTTGGCCAAGTCAATACAAGCCCCAGTACAAATAAATTAGTTTATTACTAAGCCGTAGTGTGTTCTGAACCAATGGCTTTTATCAATATTGTACAGAAATTTAATTAAGGACTACCACCTATATTCATCTGACAAATAAAAAGCCCCAAACCATTACACTGTTATCTTTATGGGGAAGTGTCACCCACAAGCACATACATATATATATATATACGTACATACACTTTCAATACGCAGAAAAGATACTAATGGGTTGAAAATTTGGAAAAAAGTACTTCTCTTACTTAACCATTATAGGAAGCATATTCTGTTTCTTACCCCATATATAAATCTCTGATTAAATTGCTGCATAGCTCCTTGAAGCTGACTGCGCTGAAGCTGCCACTGCTCGTAATTTCGAACTGACTCTAACGTTGGTCTCTGCCATGTCGTTGTTCTAGTGAAGTGGTCGACGTAATAAATTCTCCCCATGTTGTCAACTCGTCGCTCCCAGCTTTTAAAAAAAATTAAAATAGATCACAAGCGTCAGTTCTCACTAGCAGACAGTTTTAAGGGTTCAGAAGCACTTCTAGGCAAAGAGGCAGTTCATCAGTGGACTTTTTCTTCTCCTTCTACCCTCCACTAAAGCTACACAAGAGCTAAAATAGTTTTTAATTTGGTGCCTACTATACCAAGTCGGACTCGTTCCATTTCCTGTACTTTCAGGATTTTTTGGAAGTAGTTTTCAAGAGCTACACAAACCACTGTCAATACAACAGTGTCATTACTGCCTTTATCCCACCCGACTCCGAATACATCAGCTTGCTGGTTACTCCTAAAAAGACAGCAAAACCCCTGAGAGCTTGGGCCGTACAACACAAGATTTCTTCGCATTCTAATTTGGCAGAAAGGCAAGGCTTGGCCATTGGCTTTTGGTTTGGTGTTCGGTTTTGTTGGTTTGGTTTTATTATTTTCAATTCACAGGAAACCAGTACTATTTACAAAACATGCATGAAAACACAACCAATCCCAGTCAGTTTAAGGAATACATTTATCTATCCTCTCAAAGTTCAAAACGAAGTAAGACAGGTGGGTTCCCTTTATGAGACGGCCAGATTTTTAATACCAAGTTCTCTCCACTATCCCCTGCTTTTGCTTTGTAACTGCACAAAGTGAACCTCTTGAGTGTCAATGAAGTGCGACAAAGTAATTCTTATGTTTTTCTTACATTTTTTAAAAAAACCAGGAACACAGAACAAAGGTGAACACCACTTCCATGTAGAGACTAACCTCACTGGCTGCTCTGATGCTAACCCAAGCTCTTTCCTAAGAGCCCAGTAAATTAGCAGCTGGGAACCCTGAGACAAGTTCAAAGGGCTGAAACCAGCAACCTCAGGATAAAGAAGTAACCAAAGGCATTCTTGCTCAAAGCTGATAGTTACCTCAATCCAAAAATACTCTTCTGTGGTTTTGGTTCTCTTTTACAGTTGGGGGGTGTCTACTGCCTTTAAGTTAAACCCATGTCTCAGTAAAGATGCACTCATTAAATGCTCAACAAGAAATTCAGATTTTGTTATTTTTGACATGTAACTCCTCCCACGCTCTGCGCCACGCGTTTTTGCAGAACTCCTCAGTGACAACCTCGGGCAATTGTCTGCACTGGGTTCGCTGTGCTATTTACAACCTGTGCTATTTACAACCACGCTTTCTAGCTTTAGTAAACTGTCAGCTGATCTCCAAAAACTTCGGCCGTATACTAGACCGTCCCACAACTTATCCGGGCTCACCTTGGAGGAAGAGGCTCCGGCCGATCCCACGTCGTTCTTTTTTCAACATGATCTACATAGTATACTCGACCGTGCTGGTCTACTCTTTGCTCCCAACTGAAAATAAAACAGTATTTTTATCTTCCTCCAGGTCAAACTACTCCAACCATATATCTACAGTATAAAGATGAGAAATATTTTGTTTTCATAAAACTTTTAGTTCTACAGAAAATGTAGAAATGGTTCATGAGATGCACCAAAAATGCTGTACAACATTCAGTGGGACAATGCTCATATTAACATGAATTTTATGTCAGCTAGAATACAAAAAACATTCTACTTTCCTGGGAAACCAAAGCTAAAATTCATGCCTACACATACAGTTTTAGCAAGCCACGAAGCAAAGTTTTGTATTCAATATCAAGTATATGAAAAACTTGTTGAACCATCTGTAGAGCGTAATCCCCTTTCAGAGTAGCATTAATTCAATTTAAATCCCCAATGCACAGATCATGTATATGCAGAGCTCATCCTAAGGGCACTGGTCACCTATTCTCTGCGTACGCAGCGTTCAGGACACTGATCTAACCCTGTATTTGCATCAAAGGCAACACAGCGGAGAAAAAAAAAAGCAGGCCTAGTTTGCCATTTCTGTTGAAATCAAAATTGTAAAGCGACAATCAATATTTTCAGGATTGCCTTTATATTTCACAGCTATCCCGTGAGTCAGTGAGGTAATTCCGATCTCTTCTGTCTTTTGGTTGTGCCTACACATTAAGGCAGATATTTCACCCATTACAGCATTCACTTTGAGAAGCTTTTGCTTTTCTTCACTCAGAGAGTCCAGAAACACTTTTTTTGTTTGTTTGTTTATTAAAGTTTAGTGTCTAAATCAGAGCTTTGAGTCAACAGACCAACCGTACGGCAAATTCCACATGTGCTCAAACACAAGTGTCCCCACGATACTCCCAGGAGCTGCAGCATGAGGTCCAAAACTTCAGGACCTACCTCAGATGCTGAACTGCAACAGCTGTATTTGATCACCTGACTTCATTCTGTTTTGAAGACAGCAAGCTGTCACACTATGTAAACTATGTCCCACTGACATGGGAACGTAGGACAAGTAACAAAGATATCTGAAAGATTAAATATTTTCTCAAACTAACCATGCTTGAAGGCCTATCCAACAAAACAGTTGTAGAATCCCAGAATGGCCTAGGCTGGAAGGGACCTTAGAGATCATCTAATCCAACTCCCCCGCGATCGGCAGGGACGCCTCTCAACTAGATCAGGCTGATCAAAGCCTCATCCAACCTGGCCTTGAACATCTCCAGGGAGGGGGCAGCCACAGCCTCTCTGGGCA